GTTGTGTAGAAAATACATTTTGCCTCACTGAAAATTCATTTACTAATGGGACAAAAGTAGAGAAGTGTTGGCTTTGTCCAGTTTTATTCAGTTTGACTGCAGTGTCAGGTCGATTTCACAAAGGTCATTATAGGAAATAAGGCTTTTATAGTCATCTGTTTATGGTAGATCTTAAACACTGCATTTTTACTATTTTTTTTACAAAGTCTGGATCATTATGTATTCAAATCAGAACTCTTTGCTGAATGTTTACCTATGTGAAAAGAAAATTCTGGATTCTTGTTGTGGTGTACTGTTTTTGTTAGCAGATTTGCTGCTGGAGAAAGCAGCAGTTATGATAAAAGGCATTATATAAGAGAGCTCCTGCTGAGAGTCCATGGCACTGTACAGGGTGATACCAAACACTGTATTCCCTAGGGCAGGTACAATAATTAGCCACAGGACTGGCACTCAGTCTGAGGGATTAATTAGAACTGGAGGTGGTGTTGGAGAGAGGCAGAGCAGCCATAAAGAGTGTCAGGATCACTCTGGCCTGAAGCCTGTGTGATTTGATGTGAAATAGCAGCAGCTGGCTGTAACCTTAGGAAGTGCAAGAGAACAGCAGGTGGTAATTCCTGTCTCATTTACCATGTCTTCACAGGAACATGCAAGCTTGTGCAGCTTGGGTTTATTGGCAGGTCAGAAGGAAAATCCTAGAGAGGACTGTGACATTTACTATACTGAGCAAATGCAGTAGTCAAACTGGAGTGTATGCAGCACAGTGTCAAACCAGTAACACTGCTGCTTAATGTTATCATACTTGCCTCTGACAGGGTTATGATGGCCTTACAATATTGACCTTGTGTGGACCAATGGACAAAGCTGAGAGTCCTGTGAAAAATCTAGGACAGCTAGTGGGAATTACATCCTTCAAGGCTGTGATGAATGTAACAGGAGAACTATTTCATCCAAGTAAAAAAATAAAAATCAGACAGAGGGAATATTACAATGTTTTGACATCCCTCAGTTTTCTCAGTAGCCATAGTATGGGGCAAGTTGGCTTTACCTGCACTTTCAGGTGGGTAATGTTGTCCCATGGCTGTTGGCCTCCATCAGGCATCATGTTTTGCTTGGCATTTGGGCAAAAATGGCAGTGAGGCATGCAGCAACTGTGCTAATTTGGAAATTGTAACCGGCTAGCTTTTCAGGGTGAGCTTGAGTAGCTGTCAGCAGAGGAATTTAGTAGACCAGTGGTCGCTGTTGATGACTGTAGTGTTTTGTATTCTGTTAGGGCCTCCCAGGGTGTAGGACAAGAACCCTTCCTATGTGCAGTTCAAGAATCAAACCAAATAAAGAGAAAATTGAGCAGCTTTGAATCCGTCATTGAGAACAACTTTCGATAGGGAAAAAAATAAAACAGATCCAGGGGATATTTGTGGCTATATTTATAGCAGAGTGACAGGAAAGGAAGAGAACTCATTTTGTGGGAAGGATAGCTCTTTTTATGCCTTTTTAGAAGCTCATTGTGTACCAGCATTATCTTTCATGGATGCCAGAGGGTGTAATGCCTTCTAAAGCCTCCCACACATGCAAAAACTATGGACCTGTTGTAGAGTCTGCTGGGTTCCATTTAGTGTTCCCATGTTTCTGGCTCTCTCCAAAGATATGTGTTACTAATGGGGAGATGATCTAGGTCCCAGCTGGCATTGCTTGTGTCTGACTGTCAGGTTTGAGATTATGACCACTTTGGGCAAAGGAAAGAAAGCTTTGTTCTACTTGGGAACAAGCTGGAAGAAGTAACTAAGCTGCAGATGAAAGAATGGGATGGACCCTTTTCTCATGTGTTGTTCATGTAGGCAGAACACTGCAGTACTGACAGCTAGTTTTGAACTTGCCTGTGTAATGCTGGGAAGCTTTGGGAATGCTGGGACTGGCCTGTGAAGTGCTGAAAGTAAATGGTTCTGTGTACAGCCACATAAATCTTTCCCAAGACTTTCATTGCTTCTCAAGGAAAAAGAAAATATTTCATGACGAACCACTATATATTCTGAATAAGCACCTTTCTTAATTAATTCTCAGTTCTCCTACATGTTGAAGATATATATATAAGATATATATCAAATTTAATATGAGTTTAAAACATCAAATTGCAAATATGCTAATTTAGAGGTAACTGAAAATTGCTGTAATTCTAAAGGCTGATGAGTGAAAATGAAGTTGTTTAAAAATTTTCTGTTTATCCATTTTTTCAATAAATGTCATTTATTGCTTGCTATTCAGATTTTACTTCTTATGTAGGTTTCTTGTTTGTGCTCATTTCCATTACATGGGTATTGTAGTTTTGTCTAGATGAGAAATGGATCATGTGCACAGCAGGGCTAATGAGTCACAGATGTAAAGATTCTGACACAGTACTATCTATATAACTTCTTTAACTTATATTCTATAGTAAGATAAATGAAAATTTGATACATCTGTTTCTTAAATGATGTATCATTCCAGTCTTACCAGTGTCTCTGGAATGAGTCCCTTTATATGTTGTGAGTTTTAGCCTTTTTTGGTTTTGTTTTCTGTTTATTTGTTTCTAAAGAGGAGATTTCAGGTCACTGAGCAATGTGGTTAAGCCACACTACGATTCATCCCAGTGAAGTGGGAAAGCTGCATTTAACCACTGACTTTATAGGGTCAACTTACAGGGTCTCAGCTTCACCTCACGGATGTAGAGCAGGAATAAAAATGCTAAATGCATCTCCAAGATGCTAGTGAAGAACATGTATGCAACAAAAAGTAACTCTGCCTTTTTTGTAAAGACTGGTGTAGTCTTTGTGATCCACAGGCTCTCTGGTGTGATGAACAGAGCAAGTATTTGCCACATTAAAAGAATCTGCTGCAGCTGAGAGACCTGGCAGGCTGTCCTGGCCTGTTGGTGCTCCCCAGCAGGCCAGCTGGGCTAGGAAGAGCTCATGTGCTGCAGCAATGTGGGCTGCACCAGCGGAGCCGTCACACAGGACTTCCCTTTAGGAGGGGCTAAGCTGGCATGGTGCAGATGTTTGCTCCAGGAGTACCCCCAGAGGGGCTGTGCCAACTCTGCCTCATAAAGGTGGTCTGTGGGCATATAGGAGCTTCGAGCTCCCTGGATGTATTTAATTTAATGTTCCTCAGCCTAATGTCTCTCTGCCATTGAACAAGCCTCTGCTTCTGACAATGTGCTGTGCTAAAGGCAAGGAGAAGATTTAGGGATTTCCTCTTTAGGAATTCACTGCTCAACTGCATAAGGTTTTGGCTTTATGAGAAGGTTTAATTCACACCCTACAAGGCAGCTCAAGAAAAGGTGTTGAACTGAGAGCAGAATTCACCCCCTTATAATATTGTGACCACAGGCCACAATCACCAGACTCTTCCCTTTTTGTGCCAGTACAGTACAAGTTCTGCACATTTTGGTAGAGTAAAATATGATAAACCACATGTGGCATATAGCAACTGAGGGAGTAGAAATTAATGTGGAAATACTGCTATGTATGTCTTGAAAACTTTGACCATGGCCATCATGGACTACCCAAGATCTAGCAGTAGATTTATGTTCAGTGTTCATAGTTGTATATGTGCTACCAATTTATGTGCTGAATGTCATATGTTAAACAGAATGTGTGGAGCAGGATATTAATTATGCAAAGCTCTTCAGAATATACTGCCATGGCTGTCAGCTTCTGCAGCAATCCAGAGTCAAGGCTTTCTACATAGATCTCAAAGTGCTGTAGTACATTTAAATTGAAAATGGCTCAACCATTTCAACCATTATCTGCTGGCTGATAGTCTTAACAATTTTCAAATGATCATAGCAATTGTAATTTTAAGGAAAGACACCTTCATGGGATCGCTCCTTCTAAAATCTCTCTATTTTCATTGTGAAGTATCAACTTGCATCTGCCATGCAGTGCAGACCTAACTCTGTTTCCCATATGACAGAGAGGCCATTTCCTGTCTGTCAGCAGTATGGGGTGTACTAAATGTAGTGTTTGTTCTGTTTGTCTGTTAGTAAATTGTCTCTGTGATGTCTGTGTCGTGCTGTTCTCGTACCATGTTATGCTGTGTCCCTAGGGTCTGCCAGGCTTCCCCACAGTTGCTGCTCTGCACAGTAATCAGATCCTCACCGTCAAGGTTTGTGGCTGACACGTACCTGTTCAGTCAGGTCTCTCTGTATCAGCATAACAGTGCACATGAAAAATAGTTTTTAGCTTTTTATGGAATACCAGTAAATTCTTATGGTGGATCTAAGCTAGCCCTCACTGCCTTTGCTTTGATCTAAGTACTCCTGATGCAGAGCATGGAATCAAATCTATAACTGTGTACCTCTGGAAATGCCTACATTCCCTATGGTCGTTGACAGTATTTTATTTTCAGATGAGTTTTTTTCTGTTCTGCTTCCCTGAGGCATACATGAGCGTGGAAAATGTCAGTGAACTCCATCCTGGTTACACGTAGAGTCAGATATTTGTGTTAGATATCAGAGGTTTAATCTGTACGTCCAGATTTTTTCAAAGTGGATTTGCAAATTAAGCAGGAAGCAATCTGGTCAAGCTGGAACTTCAGACATTATAAAAATAACACCATTCTTCATGGCACACTATGCTGGTTAGAAAATCTGACTGAAAATTGAACTGGTGCTTTGTCTCTAGAAGCTTTGCTGAAAGAACAACATATAAAAATACTGATTTTTAGAGCCCGGGTAATGAAAAAACTAATACACATGCAGAATTCTCATGCAAAATCTGGGGAGAAAACAGTTACACATTTAAGTCACTGTATATGAGTTAAGTCATAGCAGTATGTCCTGTACAATAAAGGTAATCTTTTTCCAAAATAAAATGCACAGTTTCTTTCAGACAGAAGCACCAGTTCTTTTATAATAGCTATTGTAAATCTAATGAATATGTCTTTATTTCTTTCTCGGGCCTTCTGATGTCTATTCTTCAATTCTCTCATCTCTGATCTTCAACCTTTGACCTCACCTGCCTGATCAGATGGTGTTTCCTAAAATCAATCATGGGTTTCTCTCTGCTGATCAGCAGCTCATTAAACGCCGCCTCATTAAGGTAGTGCTTCATCTCACTGGAGTCTGGTTCTTCTTTACATTCAGTTTACTCTTTGCTGTACCTTTTTGTCAGATGCTATCTTATAACAGGTTGTTCACTTGAAAATGCTTTGAAATGCAGCAACTGTTAATGGTATTAACAGTAAAAAGACCATGGGTGGCTTTGCGAAGTGAGACATGTTTGAGACGCCAGCAGCTTTTTCCAGCGGTTTGCAGTGATGTGCTGGAAATATCTAAAGCTCCATTTTGGGGTGTCTTTCCTTTTTTAGAGGGGAAGGTAATATGTTTTGACAACTCTCTTCAAAATTGACTTTTACAAATTGATAGGTAAAAATGAAGAGAGTTAGCTAATTATCACTATAAAACAGCCTCCCAAAACAGATGGAAAATTATGTACAACTCCATCAAGAAGCAGTTATTTTCCATGCTCGGTTTTGAAATCTATGCATGTATCATTCATGGGCTTGGAAAATTGCTGTGAAAATCTGTATATTCTCAGATGCGACTTTTCTTTTTTGCCTCAGCTTTGTTATGATTATGCAAATCATGAAGCAAAGAGATGCTTATCAAAAACAGTCACTTGCTCTGGAGAACTAGATGAGTAAAATATTTCAAGACCATCCCAAATTTTGGCATGTGTGCTGTAGAAAAACAGGCAGTTTAGAATCTGCACCTTCTGCTCTGTGGCTGATTGCACCAAACCAATACAAATGTTGGTCTTCAAGGCAAAGTGCTGTTTCTGCCATAAGCAGTGAAGAAGCCACTGTCCAGTTCATGGCAGCTTCTTCCAGCCTGTCTCACACTCTTTATGGGTGAATTGATCTGTTTTTATGTGGTTGATGCCTCTAAAACAAATTTGTGATGAGTTTTTTATTGGTTTAGGGGGACCAAGGACAAGCTGGACCCCCTGGACCTCCAGGGCCACCAGGACCCAGAGGTCCCCCAGGAGATACTGGCAAAGATGGTCCTCGTGGGATGCCTGGCTTAACGGTGAGTTACGCTGTTGCTGCTTTGGTGTGCACATTTCTCTCAAGTGTATGCCAGCAGAGCAGCAAAGACATTTTCTGAGGTAAGACTGGCAGGTAAGACACGGGGAAGCTGAACCACAGGCAGGTTTCAAGGTGTACCTGAAGTCACAGACACAGAGAAGAACTATATAGCAGGGCCAGAAGTAAGACCAAGGTTCCTTGCCTCCCACCCCTGGCAGTTTCCCTACACTTTCTAAGGTTTCTCAGTCACTCAGTGATGTTTAATAGCTGTGTGAGGAAAGTCCGCCCCTTTCCACAAGTAATAAATGTTTCTATTCAAACTTCAAGATAAAACTGAATTTGAGGCCTCATAGCATGGATGGGCTTGACTTCTTTCTCACTTCTTAATGGTTTAACCTCAAAAGTCATGGAATAAAGTAATAAATTGTTGAAGCTGCCCAGGGTATGATGAAGTTTGAAGTTAGATTCTGCCATCTTTAAACAAGAAGAACAGTAACATTTTCTTTGGCTCGGTACCTGTAGTTCATTAAGACAAGGAGCAGAATCCAGTACATTGTGTATTGTTTGTTTTAGGCACAGGATGAATCCCACACTTCTTAAATGGATGCCTAAACACATGACTTTTTAGAAAAGTATGTGCTTTATTTTAGTTTCATGTTTTGTGTCCGTCTTACTTTTTATGCCTTTCAAAGAAGTATCTCTCTTTTCACCATGGATGGCACTGTGTTATCAGTGTGGAAATGGAATCACAAGCAGGAGAGAGACATGAAAAATCAACTGGCACATGTACAGATGCACACACACATTCACATCCATGAAAGGTGAGGATTGTGGCCAGGAAGACACATAGGCAACCAGCAAGGTGAGGACCAGCACTGGAAACAGAAGCTGGTTTCTTGAAGAAAAAGGGTCACTTGTTACATGGGGCCAGGATGGCATGCATTTTTCCTGCAGGGCCTTTTTAGCTAAAACTGAGAAAGAAAGTACTTACACTTCTGTTCTAATCCTATTCAGTTATTAATTGTCTAAATGTGATATACCATGATAATAGTGAAATGCTGCTAAAATTTCTTGTTAAAATCCAGCAAATCTGGCCAGTAGAGACATGTAGTATTCTAGAGCTGCTGCTGTAGTTTTGGCTTGGCTTTTTTACCACTCCTGCCCTCAAAAGTTCTATCTTAAGGTTATGGAGTGACATTAGAAGTCTGTAGGTCTCATGATGATTTACTTTGGCAACCATCTCATTTCTTGTTAGTCCTGTGGCACATCAGGCACTGAGCCTCATCTAGATCTCAGTTGTGTTCTTTTATTGTAGTTAAATGGACTGTGGTTAGCAGAGTTGGTGCTGGTTTGATCTACTAAGGGCAAGGCTGAAGTCAGAATCCGTTTCTGATTGCAGCAATGCTGTTTTAAGAATTCACATACATAGATGGGGCTAGCAGAACCAGCTGGCCTTGCTAGTTACAGTGTGTTGTTTTGTGCTTTTTAGCAAAGGGATCATTAGTGTTTCTCATAACAGGAAAGTCATGCATTTTATGCAATGAGGTCATTTCATTTTATAATAGTTCTTTAGTGACTTTGACTTTAGATGGCAAGAGAGAGTTTCTTTTTATAGTTTTTAAGCTGTGACTATCTTAAGCCCTATAACATTATGGAAAATCAGTTCATAATACTGCTTTAGAGTCAGATACAAACAAGCACTCAGGTAAAAGCCATCCAGTTTGCTGCCCCTCAGGTTCTGTATCCTCAGGTTAATGTTCCTGATCCTCAGAGGGCTTGTTGCTCCATGGCTGTGTGATACACACTCAAATAGGAGAACTGTAAAGGGAGAAATTAGCTGAGAGGGAAGGACAGCTTTGTCTTTGAGGTAAAGACTTATGTGGACCTTTGAGCTCAGGAGCTGAAAACTGCAGCTGCACTGTGCTATGAGCTGGGGCACTGCAGCATCACACAGCTATAGGAGGATGTCCTTAGAGTGACCCATGACCATTAAGCAGATATTGCCTTTTTTACAGGGTTAGACAAGCAGGGCTTCTCTTCCAGCCTGTCCTTCTCAAGTAAGAAGGTTTACAGGCACCACAGCTGTAAGATGGTGTTTTGGGGCAGTGACTGGCCAGAATGTGTGCCCCCATGGCTTCTTGCTCCCAGCTGTCATTGGTGTGCTTGCAGATGCTGCGTGTTTGCTTCCGAGTGCAATGCACGCATACCCAGAGAAGCAGCTCTGATTCTTTTCAGTTGCCAGGAACAACAACATCAGAGCAGTTCTCATCAATTTTATGACATGCTTTCTTTTATGACAAAGCTGCTAAAGAAGACCCTGCAGCTGGGCTGATACAATAGTGCATGGACTGCCCTGTGCTGAGTTGGGTTTTTAAGGGAGTGCTATGTAAACCAAACCACTAAAATGATAGGAGCTCTGGGTTTTTTTGGATAGGTATTTTTAGCCCATATTGTATGACTGATACGTTTTATTGTATATGTGTTCATATGGGAAGAAAGGGGAGAAGATAAATTCTGACTGTATGTAGAGTTGTGCCCACAAAATGAGAATACGTTGAGGAAATGACGGGTTACCATTTTGAAAGCCAGTCCAGGTATTTAACAGCTGAGTAATAATTTCATGGCTTCAAAATACCAATATTCATGGTTTTATGGAGCATGGTAATTGGCAACAGTAAGTTCCGCCTGCTCACTGAGGTGATGATATAGACCAGTAATCTTGGAATATATAAACTGTGGGATACAGCACATATGTTAAAATAACCTTTCTCTGTGTCCTTTAGCACAGTGGAATGGAATATGTTTGGAACCAAGGGACAGAGTCAGAACACCAATATTAACTCTTGCCTTAAGAACTATACCATTACATGATTGTGAAGTAGTGCTTCTTAAGATATCTGTGATTTGAATTATCAGGTTAAAAAGCAAGAAATTATTATGTTTAATGTGCAGTTATCTGCCATACCTGTTTATGAATAAAATTCTTGAGATAATTTATTACTAGATAGAAAACTGGATTCAAGATGTGTTGCTGAAGTTATTCACTCCTTTTTTATTTGAAGGGTGAGCCAGGAAAACCAGGAGAACAAGGATTGACAGTAAGTATCCTTCCAGTTTTCTAAGAAAGTGTAACGTGACATATATATTTTAAAATGAGAAATTCCAAAAAGCTTTGTGGCTGTGTATTTCCTGACCTTCCCATGTCACAGGCTATTTGAGGCCTTATTTGTGAAGAAAACACAAGAAAGAAATCATCCTCTGTTTAAATACAGTCACCTGTCCCATAAGGCCGACTTCTTTAATCTTGGAGAAGCAGAAGGAAATAAAACAGCTAAGGTCACAGTAAAACAAGAAAGAACCAAGCCAGGGGTTCCCAGTTCCTGGCCCCCTCTTCACACTGTCTCTGAAGCTGAGCTGTTTCTACCTAGAGACCACTGAGCAGCACAGGAAGCATCTACATGTTTTATGGGCCAAAATTCAGGCTGTCTCTGTGACAGGGGCTCTGGACCTTTGCCTGACAGAGCAGTGAAGAGACAGCACTGAAACTGTCAGAAAGTTCTTCTGTTCTGAGGTTTTGGTTTTTTCCTCTGTGTGTGTCAAATACTTCCAATTCATTTGGAATTAAATTGAAGCTCCACTGGTTGTAAATCAGCTTTAGCCAGAAGTTAAGGCATCATAAGTTTCTGCCTGTCACATATTCCCAGAATGGTGGAACATGCAGTGCTTCTTCTCCCTTAAGATCTCTCTAAACACAGTCATTTTTATTTTTATGAGAGATGACAGATTGTAGCTCAGGGCATGTGGTTTTGATTCCTGAGTGCTTCTGAGGAGGAGGATTATCAGTAATAATCAGCTCAACAATCAGTACAGATATGATTGCTGTCTGAATTTGTGAAGATGTAAACAGGTGCAATGATATTTTACCTTGACAAATTGCAAAATACTTTCAATTGACAAAATCCAATATCTTCTGAAAAAAAAAAAAAAAAAAGATTGCGGGACTTGGAACTATCTGCTGTGATCAGGTAGTTGAAGTCTTGTAGTTTTTCATTTTGCAGTAAAGGTTTATTAATTTTACAATCAAAGCCTCCCAAAGGTACTACCTCATGTTTTAACATGCTTCTGTGCTCTTTTTTACTCTGTTCTTTTGGTTTCTGAGTGCCTGTGAACAATAGATAAAATAGCTAGGAAGGGAGCGCTTTTGGTTTGTTTTCTTGGATTTGGAATATTCTCCAGTTTGACCTCAGGACAGAACTCACTCATGTTCTGCAAAAGTGTTTTTCTATTCAAGACCAGATCTGCAGAGTCACAGGATCCTTGAGGGCTTTAAATTCATCTCCTTTTAGTCCCCATGTTCAGAGCATTCCCACTGCTCTAACATAACCATTACATCTGTGTGTAAGAACTAAATAAATGCTACTATTATGTTTCTCTAAATGCAGATATGTTTCAATAGCAAGAAAAGGTGTTTAAAAATCAAATCAGCAAACTTGAGTTGGAGAAAGATCCCAGATTACACAAATTTTCAGCTCCAAATGTCTGCTTCAAAAGTCAGTCTGACAGTTTAAATGTTAGGTTATGTATAGATCAAGTAAAGAGCATCAGATATCAGGGAGGTAATTAGGTTTTTTTATTCTTCTTGGTGCTTCTGACATACTCTTTATGCCAGTACAGATCTGCAGACTTCTCTTCCCTGTGGAAAATGTTACAATTATTCAGGGACTATTTAGCTGTTTCTGACAACTTCCATCATTCATTTCATGTATTTTCATACTGGAAATTCAGATACTGCTCCAGGAATAGCTGATTTCCCAAAAGGTATAAGATTGCATTGCTAGGAAAAACAGTGTATTATTTGGTGAGGAGCACAGGCCTTTTCCTGAGTTTCTTTTTATGCATTTTTCACCTATTATCAAGTAAAGGGAAATGGAAGTCTCTGCCCAGAGGAGTTTCTACGTTGTTTCTGCAGGAATTCTTTTGTAAGGAATTGGCCTTTGTTTCACACAGTCTCAAGTCTTGAGTTAGCGTCCTCTTTTTCTTCTTGATGAAACTGAAACTTGGAGTTCAATGAGTTCCAAAAAGTACTACCAGTCCTGGTCTCTCTCTCTCTGTGGTTTCCTACTTGCCCGCCTGTCCAAGGTCCTTCCCATTAAAAGCGATATTGTGGTATATATTATGATTCTTCCTCCAAGATAGAGCCAAGAAGAGCACTACATGCTAGAAGAGATGACATGGTGACTTGCTGAAGGCATGCTGAAAGTTGTGGAAGATGAAGGCTATTTATGGCCTACAGGATCACACTCTGGCTTTAAATTCCATGGTGCTGTTCAAGTTAAGGATAGCAGCAAGCCTGACCTGACCTCTGAATTATAATGATGGGGACAGAACATTTTTCTCTTTCAAAAGCATTTTTTACACCTTTATTTGGTAGCATGCCTTGGTACTTATAGATTAATGTACATGGTATTGATAGAACTGGCAATTTAGTATGAGCCTGTGAACCAAGAATGGCATAGCTTGAAATGACTTTGTTTTCTATTTTCTCACAAAAGAAGGGTAATAAATTTCTTGAAGAGTACACAATATGGCGACAGAAATGGGTAACAGTGTTTTCCAGCTTGTTCCTCAGCATGTACCACAAGCCTGTGACACACACTGAGTAATGAGTGACTTGCTGTATGAATCAATACCTACAGGTAACCAGGGTAACCAGGAAGCCTCAGCTGAAATGCAGAGTGGATTTATTTAATCACCTCTCCGACAACACTGGGCAGCCAAGACACAGACACAGCTCCATTAGGCTCAGTTTATCCTAGTGAAAAGAGACACACAGGGGTACAGGCTCTGTTAGGCTCAGCTCATCCTAGTGCACAGCAGGGCTGGGGTGGAGCTGCTGCTGGCCCCAGAACATCAAAGGTTTTTTGCAGGAGCAGTTTATCATAAGGCTGTGCTTCTATGATCACTCCTTCTCTCAGCAGAAAGAAGGCTCAAGCATGTCTGTGACAATGTATTATCTCCACACAGGAATTCTGCTTCTCAGGACAGGAGAGGATGAACAACAGTAGACATTATAACTTAGTTTCCCCACACCAAAATTCTTAGTGTTCCCAGCTGCAAGGTCACTCTGAATGAAATTACTTCCTCCTTAACAAATCTTGTGGGTTTTACCCTTTCCTTCAAACACCTGCAACAATGTGTACTTTGATTTACAGAAAGTTGATATTATTTTAATGCATTTGGAATTCTGAGAACGTTCATATTCTTCTTTCAATGAAACAGGAAATCCAGTGACTCTAGTGAAAAGATGGCAATTTGCTACAACCGAGAATCTGTTGCCATGTTTTTCTTAATATTCAATGAAGTTCTGTGTTAGTAAATAAAAAAGGAAATAATATTTCAGGGTGATGTTTTGGCAGTAATAACTTTTCTCCCTCTCAGTCAGGAGAGTTTTGCTTGTACCATATACAGAGAATGACAGTCTGAGTTCTCTGACATGAATTCTGCTTTGGTTCAAGAGAGTTTGTTTTCAAAAAAGGAATGGCTTTTCTTTTTCCCTGTTTCTGTTGTAAAAACAATGTGTGGGTTATGGCATAGTGGTGGGACAGTTTAGAATGTGGGAGATTCAGTTGTTTCTTACAGGAGTCTCATTCTCTGTTAAAAATCATTCCAGGTGGTCTAAGTGCCAGCATGCTTCTTTTGCTGGTCTGTACTTGCAGTTGAGATATTTGGGAGAACTCTTTGCAAGGTTTTTTTGACTCTGTATGTTGCTGTGTCAGGAAGAATATGTTTGCTCTTTGAGCCAAGAAATTTCAGTTTCTTTTTAGGTGAGATGGAGGTTTAGGTTATAAAGATGTGACTGCATGCCTCTTTAATGTTAGAAGAGAATGAAAGAATGATTTGTAGTTTAAATTTGTGTCTGGTTTCCATGACATTTGAAAGCCTTGCAGATGTACTTTCTTCGAGAGTTGAAGGTATCATTCCTCTGTACAGAAAGGATTAAGAGAATTCAGGGGAGGCCAAGCAGTGGGGTGACCAAAGGGATTAAGTTTTGAAATATTATGTGGAACTAGAAAAATGTATACTACTCGAGAGAAGGCCAGTAGTTTCTGTAGCTTTTCAACCTTTTCAGTTAAAGTTGTGTCCTGCCTCTTATAATCCATCCTGCTTTCCCTGCCATTTGTCTGCAATTCTTGGTGATAAGGACTCTTAAGTATCATGCAGGAGTTTTTCCAGTTAATTTTCTCATTTTCAGAGTGAATAATGGATGGATTTGTGATTCTTTTCTACCCAAGAGTTAGGATTTATGGTTGCAGACTATTCATGAGAAAGTAGAGTCAGTGATGGAAAATATTAAAGGCTGACACTGGCAGATGGACATGTTCAGATTCATAAACTGCAGTGGGATAGAAGGTGTGCATGGGATGGTTTTGTTCCTAATTTCCATTTAGGAGACTTTTTGTGCTTTTGTCTGTAAAGTATACACATAGTTCATATTAATAGAAATCTGGAATATTAAAATATGCTAAGTTTTCAACTCCTTTTTTCAGAAGTAAATTTAAGCATGTTTAGTGTAAAAACACATCTGTCAGTGAAAGAAAACCTCAGTGTATTATTTTCTTCCCCAAAATGGGTCTTAAAGACATATAAGTAATTTTACATATGTTTTACATGAACAGAACACTCCACAATAACCAGAGAACTCAGGTAAAGGTGCCTCTTTGAAAAAGAAATCTATACTATGATTATTAACCCAAATGCAAAATCTCTTTGCTTTAAGATACATTGTTTTCCAGACTAGTACTTTTGTGTTTATACAGACTTACTGGGCATCTGTTCAAGAAAGTAAAACGTAATGTTATTGCTTTCACTGGTTATTCAGAAAAAGGAGGATGTTCTTCCAAAGGATATAGCCATATTTGTGAAAGACAGTGGAAAAGTGTAACCTTGCCATTAAGTCTGTAGAATGTCACATCTTTAAAATTAATTAATACTATTTTTCATCTTAGGTTAAAATGAACTCTCAGGGACTAGGCAGAATTGTCTGGGAAGTTCTGCTGGTTTCAATCCAGCCTTTCAGGCCAATGGTCAAGGCCAGATT